ATCTTGGCGTTGAAATCTCCAATGATGACCTTGAAGAATGTGTGTTCTTCTCAGTAGAACTTCTCCAAGTCCATATGGAGCGCTTCAACTTCTTCGTCACAGTTTGATGTGGGCACGAAAACGACGAATATTGTCGAAGCCAGAATTGATCGTTTAATGGGTGGCGTTGCGTTGTCTCGGCCAGGTCGATGACGTCGTACCTTATCCTTCTTGCTTGTACGAGCAAGTCTTCTATCGACGACTCACATGGAGGTGTATGTGCATTATAGGTACAGATCGTCACCATAGTTCTTTTTAATCCAGGCAGTCTCCATTGGCCCTGAGATTTTGGCAGCCTCCCCGTACTCGTCCCACCCAACGCTGTTGAATTGAGGGCTCTTTCGGGGTCAGGGGAACGAGGCCCGTTTCTTCTACTGTTTTTAGCTTTTTGATGCCCACGTTTAGCTTGCTGGGCTGTGAACGTGGGGGCTGGGTATACTCACGGGTGGTTTGCCAGGCTCTCCCAGAGTGGACATGGACCTTATTTGTTGGAGGCGACTCCTAACCGCCTCCCATATACTTCCCAGTCTTGATTGCAGACTTTTGGCTGAATTGAATCGTAGAATACAATCTGCACAAACTAGAACGCACCCACACACGCGTGCATCAATACGCCTCGTAAATACAGAACATGTATGCTAAATCGGCGCAGCACAAACAGGGAGTTTATCCCTTGGATCCACGTGCCTCTCAGGGAAGCAAAGGGAAGCAAAAGCACTCTTGATCTGCGATTAACCCCCTATCCGCCCACCTGGTGACGCGTCACGTAGTCTCGCAACTAACCGGCTCGATATCACTCATATAAGGGAGATCTGTGGTTTAATCAAATAGTGAAGGCTTTTACCAATGTGCTGTTTTAGTTTTCCTACAACCGAATTTGCTGGCATGAATTTTATAGTGAATCCTTTTTTAAAGTTATTAGTCGGTCTTCCATTTATTTTTTTAGTAATGGCTATGTCTTGTGACATTTCAAGTTTTTGAGGGACTATTCAGTTATCGAAAAGCGAACTTTTGTGAAAGTTTATCTCATAAAAACTATCGATAAATATAATTATAGGCAGGGAAATCCATTATCGTCATCATGCTGAGATAACGAGTTTTGTTTATTTAGTTTCCGGCAATTACTGTCTTAAATGAGTGACAAGCAAAATATTTTTGTGCACTGCATATACTGAAGTGAGCTTTTCGAAATAATGTTGCCTTCTGCGTATAATGAATGATTTTTTTTAAATTTTATTTCATATGACCGGTCTTTAAGGCTACTGTGCAAATCCCAGCACTTGTCACTTTTGATTTTGTTATCCCTTATCCACAAAAGTCTTCTAAGTTTTTACGCGTGAGTTCGGCTGCTGCTTGAGAATTTTCATTTCATCTTGGATGTCGTAGAATGCTGGTCGAGTCGATTCTCCCTGGTGTCGTGAGATAGTCAAATTGGGGTGTTCGCAATTGGATTGCAAAAGGTGTTTCTTTCCGAACAAGTGCCAATTTCCCGACTCCGAAATGTGAGGGGTTTGGTAAGCTTACGGCAGAATCGAACAAGCACCATGCTCGTGATGATCGGCATAAATACGACTTTGCCATCCGCTCCAGTGAGTAAATTTACACAAAATTTGTATGTAACACAACAGATGCACTATTTAATAGAATCAAGAGGTCCGCAGGAAAATTTTTATCCACTTTCACATGTATTGCTGAATCCACGAAGTAATTGATAGCAATTGAGATACAAGTCATCTTTACAACGAAAAGAATCTTCTAAAACATTTACCATCACAATGAATGAAGCTTTTATGTCACAACTGCAGTGAAATATTTTTTACCGTTGCCAAAGAGGTATAGCTGCTTTCAAAAGTGTTTTTACCCTTTTACATTAGGTGATTTATGGTTCACTGTCCTGTTTTGAGACATTGTCGTCTTCTTTATAAACGTCTCTGAACGCCGGTGGAGTCGATTCTATCTTGCGACAAAGCATGAAATTGTGAAAAAGAACATCTTCTCATGGCGATAGCAGAATTGTGATGGTCTTATTTGAGCTTAAACAGTGAGCAAAGCCCACTGAGCGGCTATGATACACAATGGAGGCGAGTGAGGTATATTGGTGCCCACTCGAGCTACTCAACGATTACCGGAATCAATCTGATCTAAGTATTGTAGTAGGACAACATTTTTATTTGACTAAATATGAACAAGAGTGCTTATTTGCTAAAATTACATATTTGGTTGCCATAGCTGAATTAGGTCTGGCTAAATCCAAATATTGTAATAAAACAGCATTTTTATTCGACTGAATATGAACAAATTTAGCTAAGGACGGTTATATGCCATTCATTCATAAGTGTCGATAGGAATAAGCTGAAAAGTGTTCATTGATCGCTTTCCAAATCTAAAAATACCCATTGTAAGGTGCTTGTTTTTTCGTTAGTTGTTGATATATACATATATTTATGTTTATATATACATATACATATGCATATATAATATATATATATACATATGTATGCATATATATGTAGTGTTATTGCAACAACTCCATACCTCATTCTGCCTTCCATGGTCTTTCCTCTTAGTTCGGAGAGTATGTCACCGTATGGCATCAGGTCTCGCCGGCTTAACAGTATTGATTCGAGATCATGTGCCTATAGAATTATTCTTAAAGATGCTCTAGAGAGCAAAAGAATCTTTCGAGATTCGTTATTTAGCTGTTATTGAGACTCTATCTGTTTAATCTGATCGGCCAGAACGAAAGTGCAGCATTAGAGCTTTACAAAAATTCGACTTGACTAGTAGTAGAGGTGTCAGTGTTTTTTCATGTAATTTTTGAAGTTTTTTACTGCTACGTAAGAAAAATCGGAGACTCACGTCCACTCTTGATGATGCGAGTGCAAGAAATACTACAAAGGTGAGCGTTAAAATAATGAATGAGTAGCATGAGCGCATTGCTGGCGGGCGATGATAGAATAAGATAACGCCTACCGTATGAGGACACTGGGAGGAGAAGTTCATTCTGTTGCGAGCACCATCTAATTTTCTTCCGGGTAACGGAAATTATTTGACAAAAGCTTAACGATTTGTGCTTGTGGCATAGTTGAACGAATGTGAACATGAAGTATGAATTTGTGCTTGTGGCATATGAAGTGTGGAATAAATTTGATAACATTGGGTTAGGACCGATTACAAATAGTAAGTTCTAGGTACGGTTGTGGAGTTAATTTGAATGGTCAATCAGAGTTATTCTAGGATTAAGTTTTGCTTTGTCTTCAAATACACTGATGGAATCGAGTAATTATTGGAAAAGCTGTGTAAATGTTAACTAAACAGTATTGTAGTTTGTTAAGTTTTATTTTCTACCTGTTCTTTTTTTTAATCCCACGGCACTTTGTGAACTACAACCATGAGGATGCTGAGATATGAGCAAAACTCGGAACTTCAAAATCAAATGGTATTTAAACCCGGAGTTACCCTTACGGGGGGTTAATGTCCTATCCGCCAAACCAACGGAGGCCCTTGCTTTGCCTTTCAGCTATGTTTTTACCCTGTCGGTGATAGCATAGGCACAAAATAAAAGTTAAAACATTGTAATTTCGGCTAGAGCATTTGCGGTCTCCAAATCACTCTTGTTAACCGGTGATTGCTGTTGGAACTGTTCAGGTAAAAAATTCTCTTTGAGGAAGGCAAAGAAAGAGCCTCAGTGGTGCAGCGGATAACACGTTATCCCTCCATAAGGTTAATCGTGAGTTCGAACCTTATCTGGGGTTCTTAGTTTTGCAAACACTCAGCGTCTTTATGGTTGTATACCTAGTATGCATTTCGAAACTGAATACGAAAGCTAGACACTAGCGTTGTAGATTATCGATGAGTTTCTAGTAACAAACAAGTTAGACATGTGTCAGAAACATGGGAACAAAAGCAAAAGAACGTAAAACACGTAAAATATAACAAAAAAGTTGGACGAAAAAGTTAACAAAATACATGAAAAAGGTGGATCATTAAACGTAAACACGAAAAGGATATGCTCATTTCTAGAAGGTCTCGTCTGCCTGCATGCATCGAGTTTACTAAACACTGCGCTGGAGGGAACATTGGGATTGTTGTTCACTTGTAGCAGTTCACTCTTTTAATAAACATCAGGGTGTTATAATTAAAAAAAATAAAGGTTGGAGCTCTCGGCGTTGATCAATCCCTGAAGGATACGCCATGCATTCGACTTCATTTAGCACAGTTTGGAAGTGACTGGATGCATATCTGGCCTTCACAATGACTTGCGGTGTCCTACCGATGTGTCGAGCTAGTGTTGCTACCCCCCAGGCAAGTCTGGTACCAATTTGTGGAAGACTTGGTGGGCCATGAGCATGGGGATGGATGCCACGTGTGTGTTGCAGGGCGCGTCCGACCAGTGCGCTACATGTGCCCTTTGTAGTTTTATAGATATTAGAATGAGTGCGCTGGAAATCTTTGTGCAGGGTGTAAAATTTTACTTTGAAACTGCGCTGGAGTGCCGTGATCGTTCTGTTAGGTTTTTACACTGGGTTTAATTGATTCCATGGCGATGTCAAATGCTAGCGATAAGCGTAACCGGCAGTTTCTGGCCTTGGAAATATAATTTTCGTAAAAGAAGAGCAGACACTTTATCATTAAACTTTAAAAAATGTGCAACAAAATGTTTAGTTCACAATTAAATTTTGTTTGGCATCCATGCTGTAAAAATGTGTCACTAATTCAGAAGAATACAGAAGTGTTCTGTGTGTTGTGCATGCTTTATGTTGTGACTTTAATCTCTCTTCATCTTTTATTCATTTATTTATTTACTTCTTAAAATTTGTTTCTTACGCGAGCTTCGTTTCATCTATTAAATAGTTCACACTTAATCGTACCAGGCTTATTCATTCGAACTGAAAGGTTGTTTGTTCATGTAGGTTAGTTAGGTTGTTTATGACAAGGGTATTTCTCGCGTTTTCACCGCAATGAATGATTTTCAGAAGAACTGTGACGTTGATATCGAGCTAAATGAGTTGGATATAGGAATGAACAGAAGAAGTTGGACGGGTTTGGTCGATTTTTTGGGTTTATTGGGTACTGAAGAGACGGAATTTAATTGTATACAAAAGGAAAACCAGGAGTCAGGTCAGATATTACTATTCTGTATAGGCAAACGAGGAATGTTCTCAAAAATATCAACGATTATGTTATGACATATTAATTCTCAAAACTACAGGAAAATATACGTTTTCTTACATCGTTGAGTTTACGGAAAGAAAAACTGCTTGCAGACATACAAAATTTTGCGTTAAGAAATGAATGAGAGAAAGAAGGTTCGACAGGAATGTCATGGTCTTCTGAGTGAGGTGTAGGAAAGTTGTAGTTTCATTACTTCTTAAAAATATAGTGTTTACTATATAGTACATCGTTCCTAATCATAAAACCTTGAATTAGTCCTTTATTACTTCTCGATGATCGGAACTTTAAAATCTCATAAATTTCCTTTTATTTTCTGAAAACGACAATTTCTTATGTTGACTATTATTTGAGACGATTTCTTAGAACCACGCTCTGCAGCCGATATTATGGAAAAGAATATTGCGAACTGCAGCAGTTTCAATAGGATGCGTTAGACCATGCATCTAGTTTTTCTGGTTACGGATTCGTTTTCACAGCACTTTCTGGCTCTAGAATCATGCGGATTGGGGCACTTTCAGGACTTAAATTCTGTTGGATGACGAAATTGTAGTTGTTTTTTTTGCAGATTTGGCTACGGAATCCAAAGTGAACGCTTTATGTGTTGGTTGCACACTACGGGTGCGTTCCTGGCGTATTAATATGAACTATCCTGCCAATTCCACTCGACTTGGTGTTATTCGTGTTGAGAATGCTGTCATAAGCACCCAGGTTTGTCGTTCCACTTCTTTTTTTTCTCTGCTGTTGTGTTCATAGTGGGATGCTCTGCGTGGAAATGAGGATTTGTCAAATATATACATATATATATATATATATATATATATATATAGTTCCCAGGATCGACTTTCTATTAGCCTCGGTATGGGAAATTGAATGCGTCATTTTCTTGTTCAGCAATCGCGAGGTTGTTAAACAGCATACATTTACTTTCACAGAAAAACACTACAATACAACAGTAGCTGACGTTTCGGCAGTGTCGCCTCCTTCAGAGCCTAGAAGGGTATACTGATTTACAGTTTACTAGGCCAAACGTTTCAGTAACATTTACAAAAAGGCGAAAAACTCTACGGTAATTACATGATCAACAGCTTCTCAAAAAACTCTCCGCCTTTTTATGTGACTTCCAATGAGGAAGTTTAGAACAGCTGATTATAGTCGCATATTGTTGATGACTGCACCATCCTACATCAGAAATTGATGCGAACATACGGGGTCAGGTCGCCAATGACCTCTGGGTATTTCTCCCTGTTATTTATTGTGGTGTTTGTTTAGCATTTATCCAAAAAGCCACAAGAAGTTTGCGCGCTGGTGTTTTAGTCTCCTGTGCAAGGATATTGACTTTAACTTCAAAATCCTTTCCCAGAGCGTTCTTCAGATAGCAGGACGCCAATGTTGGAATTGATACAAGGTTTCGCATGTTTTCGGACGATGTTCTCAAAGCCCTTGTCCACTATCGCAATAAAAAGTATACCTCTAACCTCAGAGCTGCGCAAAAATGTGGTATGCGAAAAAATTAGAAGAAAAAGAAATTAGAAAATTAGAAAAAAATTAGAATTAGAGAATTAATAAATTCAAAGACTACTAGACTATCAGCTAGTGATAAAGGGGGAGCAGTTAGAGGTAATTCCTCGGCAGTTAGAGGTTAAGATAATAGGGGAACATCTTAGTGATGATACCGTTTATCGCCCATCACTTGGAAAGGAATGCAAAAGACAATACCGAAAACTTAACAATGAAGGGGTCACAGTAGCAAAGGCGACGGGTTTAAAACCATCCTTTAATTCGCATTATAAAATAGATCGGCCAACATGCTTCGTTTTATACTTACTTATTGAAACACATAAGTTAGTATCAGCTAATGATATCACGTCTAGCAATCCACTCTCCTACAAGGTTAGACCCATTGTCAGCTGTGCAGACGGGCCAACGGATAGAATAACATGGTTTCTAGGTCCAATACTTACTCAACTGCTTAGCCATATTCCAGCTCATCTCACGAACACCGAAGTGTTTCTAGAACGTCTACGTAATACGTCTCCTAACAACGCGTGCGTGATGGAGTCTTTCGATGTTTCCACGCTCTACACCAACGTATCGAATGACTTCGTAATACAAGTCATCCACGAACTTCATATTAAACATGAAGAAGGAATACACATGCATGGCTTGTCTATTCAACGGCTTATGGCTCTCTTAAAAGAGTGCCTAAATTGCTCGATTTTCAGATGGTCAGGGAACTATTACGCGCAAATTAGAAGGCTGGCAATGGGACCGTGGTTGGCAACAACTTCGCCATTACGTTCATGTCTAAAATAGAAACCCCGGTTGTCGATCTCTGGCCGCTACTCTATTGCAGATATATAGATGATTGTTTTGTCATTTCTCTACTCAGGAGTGGATGGACAAATGCTTTGAATTATTGAATGAGCAGTCTGAGTGTATTAAATTCAACCGGATGAACCCGAAAGAGACCTGGCTTCCATTTCATAGCGTTCAAATAAACTTAACAAGTAGCGGCTACATGACAAAGTGGTACCGAAAACCAAGTAACAAGAACATCCTCGTTCATTAACTTTCTTCCCACCCTTCACCCACTAAGAAGGTGCTTGTGAGAAACATGTTTCGAACAGCCACCTCTGTGTGCACAAGTAGGGAACTAAAGGAAGAATCGCACAACTTGGCTCGCGAAATAGCCATCTACAATGGCTACGAAATAGCAACCCAACGAGATAAGTTTACAAGGAGAGGGACGCGCCCAAGCGAAACAGTTGGTTAAAAGAAAGTCCCGTTTATGCTGCCTTCTATTAGCGATGGAGTAAGCGTAGCTATTAAACGATGCTTAAGAAGGGCAAGTCTACAGGAATCGGTAGCGATAGTTGAAATACCACCGGCTACTCTACACCGTCAGTTGGTTCGTAACCGCTTGTATGACCGCCTGTGTGAAACACCAAATTGCGTAATTTGCCATTATGACAGGGACAACTGTGACTGTATGAGTTCAGGGACGACATACCTGATCTCTTGTAGTACTTGCGGAGTTGAATATATCGGTGCAACGGGCAGGCTTTTATGTATCCATAAAAAAGAACACCTAGATGGCAAACGAAAACTAATTCAAAGTACCCCATTGGGCACGCATAGGATACAAAACCATGGCGGAGACGATTTTGAAGTTAAAGTCAATGTCATCGCACAGGAGACTAAAGCACCAAGGCGCAAACTTCTTGAGGCTTTTTGTATAAGTGCTAAAACCCCACAATAAATATCAGGGATGAATACCCAGAGGTCATACGCGACCTGACCCCGTATGTTAACATCAATTTCTGATGTGGGATGGTGCAGTCATCAACCGTATGCGACTATAATCAGCTGTTCTAAACTTCCTCATTGGAAGTCACGAAAAAAGCGGTGAGTGTTTCGAGAAGCTGTTGATCATGCAATTACCATAGAGTTGTTCGTTTTTTAGTAAGTGTTATTGAATCGTTTGGCCTTGTAGATTGTATATCAGTATACCTTTCCAAGCTCTGAAGAAGGCGATACTGCTGAAACGTCAGCTACTGTTGTATCGTATTGTGTTTTTCTATGGAAGTAAATGTATGCTGTATAACAACATCGCGATTACTGAATAGGAAAACGACGCGTTTATATATATATATGTATTTATGTATATATATATACGTATAATGTCCTTCCAAATGTTTACCGTCTCATCGTGGCTGGGAGGTGTTCCTGGGTGTCGGGATGCGATGTGCAGCAGCGGACTCATTCCCTAGCAGGGTCTCCCAAGCTGAGTCTGGCATTTTCACCCAGGAAGCCTAGCTAAAAGTAAACTGATGCCAGGATCGGATCCACCACCGTCATGGTATCAAAGTCGCATGGTGGCTAACCTCGCTCTGATCCACAAAGGCGGCTGCTGCCTGCGGTGATGACGACCTGGTTCACACTTTGGTCAGGCTGACCTACAGACTCCAGGTACACACAATGGCTAAGCCAGCAAAACTCCTTAAAGTGGAGAGTATGCTGGGGCCGTACAACCAGTGAGAGTGGACCGTTCAAGTATCCACATATATATATATATATATATGTACATACGTATATATATGTACAGGTATATGTATATATGTATGCACATGTATATATATATGCATTAGGTAGTTCAGAAATGAGTTTTCTAAAATACCTGTTGTTTTAATGCATTTTTCACCAGTAAAATATTCTTTGTACCTTAAAATATTGTATATCAGTAAAAGGCTGATTTTATGCTCTTTCGAAACATGTCTTTATGTTTCATCAAAATTTAATTGTTTTTTTCTACTAATTTTGAGCTTTGCAATTTTAGATATCAAAAACGAATTTCCGTCATATTTTCTTTTATGGTTCAAATTTGATCGTGGTGCAGCAGAGACGGCTTGAAACATTAACGAAGTTTGTGTTGAAGGTAATGTAAGTGAATTAACAGTGCGAACATGGTTCCGGAAATTTCTATCTGGTGATTTCGACGTCGAAGATAAGGAAGGCGGAGAACGCCCCAATGAACTTGACGGCGATGAATTGAACGCAGTAGTGGAAGCAAACACGAGAACAAATATTCGAGAGGTTACAGAACAGCTTGGCGTAAGCGCACGAACAATTTCCACCCACGTGAATCGCATAGGGAAGGCAAAATCCTCGACAATTGTGTGCCACACGAGTTAAACGATAATAAAAAAAAATTGCCGTCTGCTCCTATTCTGTGCAGCAAAAACCATCCTTTTCTTGATGGAATTGTGGCTTGCGACAAGAAGTAGATTATGTACGACAACTGGCGACGTTCAGCTCAATGGTTGGGTTGCGATCAGGCTTCACAACGCTTTCCAAAGCTGAATTTGCGCAAATGAAGGTTATGGTGATTGCTTGGTGGTCTGCAGCCAGGCTGGTTCGTCACACTTTTAATCTGGGCGAAACGATTGCAGGAGAGAAGTGTTGCGGACACATTTACGTAATGGACCGTCAACTCCAACAACAACCACCGGCTTAACTCAGCAGAAGAGGACCAATTCTTCACGACAACGCCTGGATTCGCACCGGGGAATCAGCGCTGCAAAAGTTAACCGAGTTTGGCTGCCAAACTTTGCCTGATCCGCCATATTCACCAGAGCTCTCACCTTCCGACTGTCACTTCTTCAAGCACCTTAACAACTTCCTCTGCCAGAGATGCTTCGCCAACCACGATGATGCAAAAAATTCCTTCAACGAATACATCGCTTCCACAGCTCCAGAATTTTATGCGACTGGAGTAATAGATTTAAATGGCCTTTATTTTGATAAAATTATCAAAGTTTTGTTTGAAGCAAGTTAGGCCGTTTTAAATAATATAGTTAAAAACGCTCATTTATTTCCGAACAACCCAATATATACGTATGTACGTATATGTATATATGTATATATATATACGTATATATATATATATATATACATATGTACATGTATATCAGAAATGGTACAGGTAGTCGCGTACAACACGAATGAAGCGCCACAGATGTGCAGATGTGGTTGTTAACAGGTTAATGCCCTTACTTCAATTTCTACATACTTTCAGGTAAACCTTAACAAAGTGCTTAATACGTTATCGATAAGCCTACTCCTTGATGGCCTTCACGTTGATGACCGTACTCCTTTTTATTCGGAGTTTTATCCAGAAAGACTGGTGTTATGTCGTGTAAACACGGTGTTGCCTACCCATGCAGAGATCAAAGTTGTTAAGTTGGGAATCTTTCCTTTACATTTCCTATTTTAATTCCGTTCGCACTTGTTCGCTGTGCAGTACAATTCTTTGAGTAAACCCTTAGGTCTTTCTTTCAGTTTGTTGAACTACACAATGTGACTTTGTTTCAAACGTTCAAGTTCGGTTTTATTCTTTATTTGTTTAATAGACAATAAGTTAACCCTTGCACACATATCCGCGTTCAATGTTTCGGGTCTATGTTCGTGACCACATCATTCAGGTGTCGTAAGAGGAAGTTCATCTTTAGAGTTTTTATTGTTGTTTTAAGATTTTTGGGTGAAGATGCTACTCGAGAGTGTGATCTACAAGTTAATATTGTTGTGCCCGAGACGATGAAGTTCTACTATGTTCATACGCATAGGTATTAAATACTATTGCGTTATTTAAAAGATGTCGTTTTTCTATTTCTTTCTTTGTTTTGTTGTAAAATCACTAAATTTTCTTCATACAGAGCTTCGTGTTTATCACTTATGAATTCGTTCAGATTCTTCTGTGGTTTGTTGGATTTCTGGGCACAATTTAGCGAGTTGCAAGATCAGGTTGCTAAGAGCAAGCGGACTGTTGTGGGTTTAAATTACTTTCTTTTTATATTTACAATTACATTTAACATTTACATGTGATATTTACTTCTATTTCTACTGGAAGTTTCTTGCGTACCACCCATCTATGTGAAATGTAATGAACAAGCTGTAATTAGCGCATTTTTATGGATGGGGTAATATTACGCGACGGTTTTTTGAAATACAAACACTCTAACTGATTCATCTTCAAAATATGTTGTCTGAATCTAATTCTTTGGAAACCGATGATGGTTTGTCGATCATTAGAGTATTCGAGGAGTGCAAAACTTCGCAGATTTATTGGAGAGACCGTGTTGTAACGCACTACTCTTATATATGGTCTTTATCCTTTTTTTTTTCTCAAAAAAACTGCTGAGGTTTTTAAAATTCCAACGTAATTGCGACAGGTTCAGATCTGTTGGCTTACATTACCAAATCTTGCTGGGCGAAATCCCGCCTGTCCAGTTGCATTTTCCTTCAAAATACGAGCCTCGACTTAAAACAAAGTAATCGTAATTGAACTTTATAATAATTATATATTGTGTGCTAGAGTAAATCGAATGTCATCACGGTAGAATTAGAGGAATTCTATCTTATAGGAAGAAATTTGCAAATCCAGGTGATTTTATTCAAATTAGTAAACTTTATTTCTAGTTGGATATGTTGGTTTTAGTTGAAAGGTGGCAAGAGATGGAAATCTGATTTCTTTAACTCCTAAAGAGTAGCTTTCCGCCTTATTTCTGTCGAGGGTCATCTCATACCGCGAGTCCGTTGCATAAGCAGAATTTTATTCATCAAGATACCATCTTAATGCGTTTTTGATGTTTACGACTGTAGTATTTGCGTTTACCGCGTCATCGTGGCTGGGAGGTAATCCTGGGTTTCGAGCTGCGATGCACAGCGAGGGTATTCATCTCTCGGCAGGGTCTCCCAAACTGGGAAGGGGTCCAGCGGTTCTATTAGGAAGCCCAGCTAAGAGTAAACCAATAGCAGAATCCACCACTGTCCTGGTATTAAACTATCCGCATGGTGGTAAACCTCCCTCTAAACTCTAAGGGCGGCGAATGTCTGTGATGGTGACGACCTGGGGGAGACTTTGGCTGGGCTGACCTCGGGACTTCAGAGAGCTGCAATGAAACCGACAAAACTCCGAAAAATGGCTGGGGCCTCACGGGGCGTCCAAGTACCCATGTAAGCAAGTATTTACGTCAGGATCCAGGAGAATCCAAGTTTCATTTCCCATAAATTGTTAATTTGATTTGTAATTAAATCAAATATCAAAATATATTAGGAAGGTTTTCTATATTCTTAGAGCGATAGGGCAAATTTTCCTGTAGGAAATTGTGTTCAAAAACTGGAACAACGAGCACTAAATTGTTAAGTTTTGACAACAACCTTAATTTATGTAACTGTATTGTCATATTTCAATGCTGTTTTAAGGTAATCGACGAAGTGCGCTCGAAAATTTCATTAAATATAAATGTGAAATGTCCAGCAACTGTAGTGCTTCCTCTGAATCAGTTCAGCGATGACTTAGTGGTGCTTGAGTCCGATGGATTCCGATTGACCAATTCATTCAACCGAATGGGTACGATAAAGGACTTTTTCCAGAAGAATTTCATTGACACTGATTACGGTTACGGTTCGTATTTTAATTTTTGTTAATGTTTAATTATTGCGTTTCTCATGTCAAACGGAAAGGTAAAGCTCTTGGCGTTGATAAATTCTTATGGAATACGCCATGCATTTGACTTCGATGCATATCTGGCCTATACAATGACTAGCGGTTTCCTACCGATCTATCGAATGAATGCCGGCGCCATAAAAAGTCTGGTACCAATTTCCTGACCCAGGAGGAATGGAGTGCTTAGTGAGCCTATGGTGCGGGGACGAATCCAGTGGGTATTGCAGTCGCCTCCGACCACTGCCCTGCAAGCGCTCCCTACTTCTGATGTAGTATCTCTTTATTGCAGGTGGTATTCTTTATGAAAATTCAGTTTAAGCGGTTCGGAAGCCCAATGCTATTCTTGGTGATGGCGGCATAGGTTCAAGTTTCCGTATTTGATTCACTTCGACATTACAGCCTTTGAGTCATTGTTAAATGTGCTTGTTTTTTTTTTGTCTCAGTTGGCTACGAATGATCGGGATATCATCATACTTTCCAAAACTTTTTTTTACGATTTACGATAATAACTTCAATACACTTTTGATGAATTTAAATGCAGTGCATCTTCTTGTTCAGCAGTCGTGATGTTGTTAAACAGCATACATTTACTTCCGTAGAAAAACACAATACAATACAACAGTAGTTGACGCTTCGGCAGCATCATCTTCTTTGGAGCCTGGAAAGGTATACTGACATACAATATACTAGGCCAAACGCTTCAGTAACATTTACAAAAAGACGAAAGACTCTACTGTAATTACATGATCAACAGCTTCTCGAAAAACTCACCGCTTTTTTACGTGACTTTTAGTGAGGGAGGTTAAAACAACTGAATATAGTCGCATATGGTTGATGACTGCATCATCCCACATCAGAAATTGATGTGAACATACGGGATCAGGTCGCGTATGACCGGGCATTCATCCCTGCTATTCATTGTAGGGTTTTTGGCATTGATCCAAAAAGTCTCAAGGAGTTTTCGCGCTGGTGTTTTGGACTCCTGTGCAAGGATATTGACTTTTAATTCAAAATCGTCTCCGCTGTGCTTTTGTATCCTACGCGTGCCTAGTAGGGTACTTTGTCTTAGTTTTCGTTTGCCATCTAGGTGTTTTTTTATACGGATGCACAAAGGTCTGCCGGTTTTACCATATTACATATTCATTTCGGCAACTATTACAAGGGATCAAATATATCATACCTGAACTCATCCAGTCACCGTCCCTGCGGTAAGGGCAAATTACGTAATTTGTTGTTTCACATAGGCGGTCATACAGGCGATTACGAACTTACTGACTACGTGGAGTAGCCGGTGGTATTGTAACTATCGCTACCGATTCCTCTAGACCTGCCCTTTTTAAGCATCGTTTAATAGCTACGCTTACTTGATCGCAAATAGAAGGCAACATGAACGGGACTTTCTTTTGGTCAAGTGTTTCGTTTGCGCGCGCGCTCTCCTTGCTAACTTTTCTCGTTGGGTTACTATTTCGTAGCCATTGTGAACGGTGGTAAGGAAGGAAATCATTTTCTTTCTTCCCACCCTTCACACACAAAGAGGGCGATTGTGAGAAACATGTTTCAAACAGCCACCTCTGTGTGCACAAGTAGGGAACTAAAGGAAAATCGCGCAACTTAACTCGGCAAATAACCATCTCCAATGGCTACTAAATAGTTACCGCACTAGATAAGTTAAGGAGAGCCACGCGCCCAAGCGAAACACTTGGTCAAAAGAAACTCCCGTTTATGTTGCCTTTCATTAACGATCAAGTAAGCGTAGCTATTAAACGATGCTTCAAAAGGGCACAGGTCTAGAGGAATCGGTAGCGATAGTTGAAATACACCTCCTACCCTACGTCGTCAGTTAGTTCGTAACCGCTTGTGTGACCGTCTATGTGAAACACAGAGTTGCGTTATTTGCACTTACAGCAGGGACAGTGATTGCATGAGTTCAGGTACGATATACCTGATCTCTTGTAATAATTGCGGAGATGAATATATTGGCGAAATGGGCAGACCTTTGTGTGTCCGTATAAAAGAACACCTAGATGGCAAACGAAAACTAAGACATAGTACCCCACTAGGCACACATAGGATACAAAAGCACAGCAGAGACGATTTTGAAGTTAAAGTCAATGTCCTGGCACAGGAAACTAAAACACCAACGCGCAAACTTCTTGAAGTTTTTTGGATAAATTATGAAAACCCACAATGAATAGCAGGGATGAATGTCTAGAGGTCATGCGCGACCTGACTCCGTATGTTCGCATCAATTTCTGATGTGGAATGGCGCAGACATCAACCATATGCGACTATAAACAGCTGTTCTAATCTTCCTCATTGGAAGTTACGTAGAAAGCGGTGAGTTGTTCGAGAAGCTGTTGATCATGTAATTGCCATAGAGTTTTTCGTCTTTTTGTAAGTGTTATTGAAGCGTTTGGCCTTGTAGATTGTATATCAGTATACCTTTCCAAGCTCTGAAGAAGGCGATACTGCTGAAACGTCAGCTACTGTTGTATCGTATTGTATTGTGTTTTTCTATGGAAGTAAATGTATGCTGTTTAACAAACCCGGGATTGCTGAACAAGAAAACGACACATCCATATTTCAATGCCGAGGTTAGTAGAAAGTCGGTCCTTTGAACTGTTTAAATGCAGTGTTTTTCTAAGCGAGTTAATATTCAAATGGTGTGATCAATATATAAATCTACTGCTACATCTTGTAATAGTTCCCAAGATCGACTTTCTCTTAACCTCGGCATTGGAATATGAATGTGTCGTTTTCTTGTTCAGC